ACTTTGTAGATAAGACTCCCTCTATAGTTTTAAACGGCTCGTTTATGTGGCATCTGAAAATTTACAGAAATGTTTCAATCTTTCAATTTACCAAGTTTGTAAACATCTGTATATTGTCAACCATCAATTCTTGGGACTAGCATAAAACGAGCGATTGAATTAGAATTAAAGATGAGGACATTTATAAGGCAAAATGTAAAAAACTAAATGTTTTAGGTTGAGCTGGGTAATGTATTGAATTAATTTTTTATACCTAGTGAAATAGAATGCATTTTGGCATAGTCCAACTACAGAGTTTATAAGGCAGATGCATGTTGTGACAAGCTATAACTGAAAGCTGTATGATCATAGTTGTATCAGTTGATGAAATTGTTGCAGTTTTGAACTAAACAGTTGCAAATTAACTGTTATGTTTTAATTTAATATCTTCTGTTTATTTTCTAGGCTATTCCAATGACAGGGTTCTATCTGAATTGAAATGTGGTTATCCCGACACTTACATAGCTGATTTTGAGGAAAACTGTGAACACATTCAAATATCATCTAAGTGTTTGATATGAAGACCAGGAACATCTTAAATCCATATGATAATGATTCCTCTCACCATGACATGCATTATGCTGGAGAGTATCCTTTCAGTTTAATAATGACTCAACTGGACATAAAGAACAATACGCTTAGATTCTATTATAAATCTGTCATTGTATCACCATAAGTAACTGTTTAGCTGCAATTTTGCAGTGTTGCACAGGTAAAATATAGCCTACCATGTTTAAATATGTAAAAAAAAAAAAGTTGTAACCTGAAAACAATAAATATTGCCAATTTATTTGATTCTGAGCATCGCAGACTCTGGATGATGTATTTTAAGTTTATTACGGTATGTGCATACTTCAAGGTGTGTCCTCTAGACAGGTACAGTCGCTTTACATTAATCCATACTCGAACTCTGGGCACAATCCACAATCCAAAATGTTGTCAAAGTATCGATAGCACTGTTCTTCATAGTTGTTAAAGTACAAAATAATTTACCAGTATATTTATTTCTTAACTCAATACATAGTGTTACCTCAAGATGCAGCATTTAATCTGACTCTGGGCAACCTATTAACAAGAACTTTATTGACAATAAATGCTTATAAACCACCTGCTATGTACAACAAGGTAAGAAATTGTAAATACATATCTTGGTCAGTATTTTGCATTGTGTGAATCATTCAGACCTTGACAGTAAAACAGGATTTACTACCGGGTATTAGACACAATTAAGGGGTGTTGACCTACTTCATTAAATTTTTATAAAATGTACATCTAGCACCAAAAACAAGGGAAATTATCACTCCCTGATATGCTAGGGCAATTTTATAGATTGACCTTGAAAATGGATGCCCTCCCAACCCAACAATTAACACCCCATCTTTGAATAAATTAACAGTGATTTTTTTTTTTTTATTATAGGAATTTACAGAATTTGCCGTAACAGTTCTGGAAGTCAATGAGCATATTACATGGACAATCTCATGTTGCAAAGTCATCAAATTGAACCTAACAAAAAAAAATTTACAACAGATAACGATAATTATGCAAACCGTGAAGACGGAGTGATACAAACGTCAAATCACAGATTGTTATTGTCAAATGACATGAAGATAACCTGCTTTGAACACCGTCTGGTTTTTATTGACAATAAAGAATATGTACTTTTTTGAAAGTGGGACATCACAGGTGAAGTTTCTGACCTGGAGTCGTTCTTGTAGCAATGTATCTTCAGATTACAATCATTCGAGAGTCTCTATTTAGTGAATTTTCTGATTTGACGTTATCAGATGATAACCAGGGCCC